TAGATGTCATTATATTTGTAGCAGCTGAAGCCTCATGCACAATAGGTGGCATTATATTTGTAGCAGCTGAAGCCTCATGCACAATAGGCGGCATTATATTTGTAGCAGCTGGAGCATCATGCATGATAGATGGCCAAGACATTATATTTGTAGCAGCTGGAGCATCATGGGTGAAATGAGGACTCCATGACATCTGTATCTTTGTTGTTTGAGTCCATGTTAGGTCATGGTTTACTTCTCCTGATGCCACTTCTGTTCCTCACAATGAAGGTGAATTCTGCTATTTCAAAATTTGTTGGATATCTGTGGTATCTCAATGAGGAACTCATTGATTTTATATTCTTTGATTCATCTGTATCTACAGAAACAATACAAACGATGTTAAAGGCGCTAAATGACAAGGAAGATATGGATGAACTTCCAGCTGAATATCAGGTAGTCTGAGGATATGTCAGTTGAAGATTTTATTACAAGGAACACAAGGAACTGGACTTCTGGATTATGATCCTGATTCATGGGAGCTCAGAGAGGACTACAGAAAGGCACTACAGACAGTTAAATGTGGTAAATGACAATGCTGGAACTGGTGTGACTCTTATTGAAGAGTATAATGCCATGATAACAAAGAAAGAACAGAAACAATTCCTACTTCAAGTTGTGGTCAACCATGGAAGACACTTTCCTAACAATGAAAAGAAAATGATGATAATGCAAAAATGACTAATCACACCCAACTCATATAATTATACTAGTAAAATAAAATACTTTAAATAACTAATTTTTAACACATAATAAACATGTTGTTATATCACATTGTACCTACAGTACCAGGCCACCTATAAATATGGTCAAAAATGAAACGAAGTTTGACATTTAATATTTTTGTTTGTTTATTGGAACAAAAGTAGGAGGTGAGAGCCTTAGAATTTTACCTGAAAATAAGGAGCACCAGCTTTATACAAAGTTGGTAAATAAGGAGCACCAGCTTTATACAAAGTTTGTAAATAAGGAGCACCAGCTTTACACAAAGTTGGTAAATAAGGAGCACCAGCTTTACACAAAGTTGGTAAATAAGGAGCACCAGCTTTACACAAAGTTGGTAAATAAGGAGCACCAGCTTTATAC